CAATAAACCATAATTTAAAATCAGTTACATACTGAAAAATATTCGATAAAATCAAGATACTGAACAGAACAGATATATTCTGATAAGAATTTAGGTATGACGTTTTTTGAGCCAGATACAAAACCATTATTGGCTTATTCGTCGAAGTTGAAATGTTCACCGAAGTTAAAATATTTTGTCCGGCAAGCGATCTCAGGCACCTTACCAGTTACAAAACAATTGCGATCTCGTGGAATTCAATGTTATACTCAATGTAGTATATGTGGGGCAGATGAAGAAATTATAACACATGTATTGTTTGAATGTCCACCAATGTTACAAACATGGGTCTCTCAAATTATTGTATTTTTTTTAAATTTCTCCGGTGTTCATAAATATGGATTATCTTTTCTAGAAACTTCCTAAAGATCATAATTTTAGTCATTTTCCACCGATCATGTGGTATATCTGGAAACAACGGAATGATAAAAAATTAGACAAAAAAATGGGAATCCAAATGACATATTGGATCTTGCAGAAATAGAAGGGGAGATATGGCACAAGAACAACATGATGATCAAGGATCCCAAGATGATATTTTATCCTTTCCACCTGATCAATCCAGATCAGATTTAACGAGGTGTTATATTGACGGACTATGGAATGAACAAGATCAATTTTCGGGTCTTTTAAAAAAAAATGCAGGAGATCAGATGATGGAGGCTATGTACCTCAGATGAATCTTATCATTATTACATGCTGAATGCGAGTCGTTGATCTGAGCGATTGAGTGCATGAAGACTCTACAAATCTCAGAGGTGGTGTTTGCAACAGACTGTTCACAATTGTGAAGATCCCGAATGAGTGGCTGGCTTTCAATACACATATGGAAGAATTTGAACGATGTAAATTCCCCAGAGCACAAAACATCTTGGTAGAAAAACTTACATGTAGTGCTCGGTGTCTACCTTCAGTTGTGATGTTAGTTCAATACCTCCGATTTGACTTGCTGAACTGAATTAAGTTTCTTTCTATTAGCATAGTTTCTTGTTGTAAAAAAATTAAATATTAAATAATAGTTGCAAATAAATCATAAATTTTTTTTTTTTTTTTGAATTATACAGAGGTATCCTGGCCCCACATAAGTGGTCCAGACTAGCCACGTGTTGCCACGTGTCGGTCCTCTGTCCCTGGCGATGCCGAAATGTTAATTCCCCAGTGGCCGGGATTCGAACCCAGGTGGCGGTACTCACAGCTGTAAGCCCTTTACCACTAGAGCTAGAAGCCCCGGTTATAAATCATAAATTTTATTTTCTCTTTTACGAAAAATATCATTTTATTACTTTGCACATAAATTAAAAATTGCTAAATCTATTTATATTCTTATTAATTATACTTATTTAACCAATTATTTGAGATAAATAATTTAATTTATTTTATAATTAATATTAAATGAAATATAATTTGCATTATAATTTTATAATAACACTATTTTTTGACTGAAGGCTTTTATAACACTGTTTTGTAATAAGAAAAAAAATCAAAATGGATTTTTAGACAGAGGAAGTATTTGCGTCACTTAACATTTTCAAAAAAAAGTATTTGCTTTACAAGAAACTATTGTCTTTAAAGGATTACGTGATATTAACGAAATACATATACATTCTTTTTTGTTTTTTTTATGGGCATACGACTTATGTAAATCATAAATACTAAACTTTAGTACTCGCGCAATATACGCAAAATGATCTCATACCCAAATATTCGGATAGGCATGGTTACGCGCGTATATAACTTTTCACTAGATCATGACCTACTTTAGATGTATTTTATATAATTTAGTTCTATATGGTTTCGAGTTAATTGTCAAGCAGTGTATTCTAAATATTGACTTTTGTATTAAGTGTCTAGCAGTGTATTATGTAGATGTAACCCTGCATGAAAACACTAATGATATATGTTTGTTTGAAGTGCATAATCAAATTCACGATTGATATACCGCATAATATTTTATGAGGAAATGTTTTCACTAATAACTTAATAAATATTTTGTTAATTTAAAACAAAAATTGCATTTAAAATATTTTTACATTTAAATTAGTGTTTTTAAATTCGACCGAACCCGCAGTTTATCCAGTGATCCGATAATTTGATTTAGATTTTTTAAAAATAAATATATATTAAAAATCATGAAAACCCGAGACTAATCGAATGAACTGATAGATAACCGATACATAATATTTAAGTCTGTAAAAATAAATTCTATTTTCGGTTGTTATATAAATTATTTGAAATTTGAAATTTATTTTTTTTCTAAAATTTTACAATAATTAAAATGGATTATCTGAAATTAAACCCGTAAAGATCAGAAATGAACCCGAGCGGAAATTTATAAATATTTGAATATAGATAAAAAAAATTTACCTAAATTTTTTGAAACGTAATTAGACTCGAACCGAACTCGGATAGCTCCCGAATGCACAATTCTAGTTTAGAGTTTGTCGTATGATACATATTGACAATAAAAGTGTAGATTTGGTCAATTTTAGAGTTTGTATTCAAATACCATTGGTTAATAGTTTTGATAGTATCTATAGAAATATTAATATATGTAGGTTAACGAATTGTCTGCAAACAATTAACATAAATGAAGAATATATAATATAGTTTGTTTGATAACGTAAGTATAGTACATATTTATAGATTAATATATTGGTTAAATGATATACTAGACATGGAGAAACATTGGAACTGAAAATATTAGATCAGATATGGAAGAAAATGATTATGGTTGTTAGAGAATGATTATTTAAGGAAATATTATATTAATGTTGAGTTAATTAAGATAGCCTAAATAATAGGAGGTCCAACTTTAAAATCCACTTAGAAAAAGTTGTAAAGTTTCTGTTTTAATTATATAGATATATTGAGGCTGGATTCTTTATTGATAAATTAGGGAGGAAATTGTTATTTGTTTCCCATTGTTCTTATTTAGTATTATGAAATGTTCATGGTTTTTTTTTGGCAGTAATGTTCATGGTTAAGGTGAATTTTTTTTTCAATTTTTACTCTGGGAACATAATTAATCAATCACAGCCAATAAATACAGGGGACAGTTAACTACTACTCCTACTAGCAAAAGAATATTTCAAAGCTTAGTTAACTAAAATTCATAGTTAGAAAATATTGCCTTTGTTTCAAATATATGTATATGTCTGTGTTTTATATTTAAAAACATTTAAAATTGGATAATCAATTTATTTTTACTAGCATATTTTATAATTAATAACTACAATTATTTTAAGTTTGAAATTAAACATTGTCAACTAATAAAAATGCCTAAAACAGGAGTCATGTGTTTTTAAAAAAGTAAATGTTTTCTAAAAATATTTACTTCTGAAACAGAAAGAGTAGTATTTTAAAAGTTAAAAGTAAGTTTCCATTTTTCTTCATTTTCAATTAGATTTTTTTTATAAAATATTATAAAATTTTCTATAATAATCCTGAAATAAATCATCAACTTTGGTAATTAGTAGTATATCAATATGCTTACCTAGGTAGCTAATCTGAATTTTTAATATATGTAAAAGTATCAAATCGGTATTTTCGATAGCTAGAGAGCATGATATACATGTTTATAAATATACTTGTAGTCCTGTAGAGATCTATAGAAAATGAGGGATGTATTTCTCTCAAAATCACAATCAAATAAACACACTATTATGTTTTCCACAAGCAATAAATAAATAAATCATTTGTTTGGTCTGAAGAGAAGTATAAAGTTTCCAAATGAGTTTACATAATGTATTAGGATCCGAATAGTATACGAAATAACTATGAAACAACTGCAATACAATTTAAACAATAAACAAAAAAATATACATATATAATGAATGGTACCCGGTAGGTCACTATTCAACCTACTATTCGGAGTTGTAAAATTGCGCAAAATATCAGTAACGGGCTGTTTAGTAACATGTTGGCGGCAGTCAACGCTAAAAACATTACTAAACGCACCTTCTTGCGCTTCTGTTCCAATGAAATTAATTCGTCTCTATTCTACCAATAGATTTATATAGCAACTATTCCTCACATACATAACGGATAGTTTGATACATATTTTACTAAACGCACTTTCTTGCGCTTCTGTTCCAATGAAATTAATTCGTCTCTATTCTACCAATAGATTTATATAGCAACTATTCCTCACATACATAACATATAGTTTGATACATATTTTCCATTCACGGATATTATATAGACGACAATTAATAGAGGTGTGAACAGAGAGAACGGCATTCTTCACTGGCTTTATTTTCAATCAATAAAAGATAATTTATAAAGCAAAAATATATAGCTTATATATAAGTTCATCAAAGTTCATGTATTACGTGATCAGTTTAAATGTTACTAATAAAATCTTAACATTTGACATATACACTAAAACTCCACTAGAAAAACTTCACTAGATATACCTACAGTATATTATAGAACTTCACTTATTAAAGTATGACAGCTAATTTCTACACAACTGATTAATTCAATCGAAAGTTTAAACTTATAGAATAAGCAAACTCCCTTCTCTTGTGAGCCAGCCCCTTCTCTTGTGAGCCAGCCCCATTTAAGTAAACGAAACTAGGGATCCTATGTGAAACTAAATGCATAACTAAACTGATTCAGATTAGTAGATGAATGACTAGTGAGATTATACTTTTCTTTTGAACAAAAAGATTATACTTAGGTTTTTTTTTTTTGCTAAAATTTGTAAAATTATACTTTTAGTTGGTTTATATAGAAGCAAATTCCAGCTCACAAATCTTGTGCGCATCGCCACAAGTAGTTTGTGGAGTCAAACAAAAACTTCAACTTTTTAACCCTCTCTCATAATATTCAAACTTATTAAGTGCATTTAATACATGTATCAGTGTGTATAATCTTCACGAGGAGCTTTATATATTTAGCATAATATCTCTCAGAAGTGGGAGAACTTGTCAACACTTTTTTTAAAGGAATTTTAACTTGTCAAGACTTCTTCTCTCCTCTTTATATCTTTCTCCCTCATTTTCTCTCAGTGTAACCATGGTAAATCAAGCTCCTCAAGATGATTATGTGAGTCTATATCTCTGTTTTATTGCTACTGTGATAAAATTTGGAGTTTTTCTTTCTTATTTGAACATTGATCTTGAGTTTGTTGAATTTTAGTTTAACCAAACTGGACTTTGCAGATATATAGACTCAGGAAAAACACGAACGATGAAATGAAGTCTATTTTTTTTTTTGGTAAAAGAAATGAAGTGAAGTCTATTGGTACAAACGATAAACAATAAAGCCTTATAAATAATGATAAACAACAAACCCTTACAAAATGATAAACCCTGATAATTTTGTTTTTTTAAACCTCCCTCGCTAAACTTTTTTTTATATAATATTTTGATTTTCTTTCAGAGATTTTTGTCGTTTTTTCTCAAGATTCCCCTTCCTTTATCTTGTTGATCTTTTTTTTTTGTTTGAAACAGTCATTTAGGTTTTGTAGAAAATGTCGAGAGAATAAATTACTTGTGGTGCTTAGAGATGGATGTAGAGGAAAATAAAGAACTAGATTTAATATCAGATATTGACTTTCGGACTGTTTAAAAGCTTACGATATTTTTTCGTCCCATAATTTCCAAGGTCTATAAGATACTATGTTCCAATATTTTTTTCTTTTACATACTGTATAATTGAGTTATTACAAGTTACATAAAAGTAAATAATTATCTATAATATACTGTAGTAACTTTACTATACTTTTGCTATAAAAAATGTATCCATTGGAATTCTAAACTTATATATATATAATATATATATATAAGCTGTATATGTATATATAGATGTGTGGTCCATTGTTTTGTGGAGAAATCCATCCTAAATTTTTTTAAAGTTTTACAGAACCCGTACGGCCTAGTTTCTGGCTTTTTCCAAAATTTAGAGAACTCGTACCAATCTTAGCCGTCTAAAAAGATAAACATATCGTCCAAAATCAACTCGTACTTACAAACTACCTCCCGAAAGAAAATGAAACTAGGAACCGACATGAGATCATTGACTTTTCTGATATTGATTTGATGTAGGAGTAATAAACATATCAAACGACTTCTCCTTTGCTTCTTGCGCGTAGTTTCTTTTAACTTTAAGTTTGGTGTACCAACCTAAACCTGTTTAGAGGCCCAATAGATCTTCCAAAAATCTACCCTTATACTTTATTTTACTCTCCTTTGAATTCACAAGTTATCTCATCTATCATTTAAGGCCAAAATTAAAAATCACGATGTGAGCAAACACCAACACAAAAAGAATAAAATTTTCTTTCATTTGAATTTTGTGAAATAAAACAGGATGACGAGAAATTGGCAAGACAAAAAGAAATCGAAGATTGGCTACCAATTACTTCCTCAAGAAATGCTAAGTGGTGGTACTCTGCTTTTCACAATGTCACCGCCATGGTCGGTGCCGGAGTTCTCGGCCTCCCTTACGCCATGTCTCAGCTCGGCTGGTAAATTTTCCAATTCATACATGTTATTGGCCTAAACCGGATATCTAACCAAACTAAACCGGTTTTAATATTTTTTTTCAGGGGACCAGGAGTTGCGGTATTGGTTCTCTCATGGGTCATAACACTATACACATTATGGCAGATGGTGGAAATGCATGAAATGGTTCCGGGAAAGCGTTTTGATCGTTACCATGAACTCGGACAAAACGCGTTTGGAGAAAAGCTTGGTCTTTATATAGTCGTGCCACAACAGCTGATCGTGGAAATAGGCGTTTGCATCGTTTATATGGTCACTGGAGGCAAATCGCTAAAGAAGTTTCATGAGCTTGTTTGTGACGATTGCAAACCCATCAAACTTACTTACTTCATCATGATCTTTGCTTCTGTTCATTTTGTCCTCTCTCATCTCCCCAATTTCAACTCCATTTCTGGCGTTTCTCTCGCCGCCGCGGTTATGTCTCTAAGGTAATTACATTAACCGGTTTATTAATTTTGGTTGCGTTGGTTATATATACTGGTATGGATAGGTACTTTAGTTTTCGATTATTCGAAATTAAGGCTGGGAAATGAAATTCTGATTCCAATTATTGTGGTTAGAGAATGGGTTTGGGATTAATTTTGGCTTACGTATTCAAACTGAATCTATTTCGGTTTATTCTGGTTCATCTAAGATTAAACACTCAAAAATTTGGTTTGTACATTTTCTTTTAAAACCGGATGTAGTATTTGTGGTTAAGTTAAATTCACTAATCGGTTCTAAACATATTTCCTTTGATTTATAGCTACTCAACAATCGCATGGGCAGCTTCAACGAGTAAGGGCGTTCGAGAAGATGTTGAATACGGTTACAAAGCAAAATCAACAGCCGGTACGGTTTTTAATTTTTTCAGCGGTTTAGGTGATGTGGCATTCGCTTACGCAGGCCACAATGTGGTCCTTGAGATCCAAGCAACAATCCCTTCGACTCCTGAGAAACCTTCAAAAGGTCCAATGTGGAAAGGAGTTATCGTTGCTTACATCGTCGTCGCACTTTGTTATTTTCCGGTGGCTCTCGTCGGATATTATATTTTCGGGAACAGTGTTGAAGACAATATCCTCATATCACTTAAGAAACCAGCTTGGTTAATCGCGACGGCTAACATCTTTGTTGTGATCCACGTTATCGGTAGTTACCAGGTTGGTTAATATAAAACTAATTTCAAAAAATCTCTTTGTTTGGTATAAACTACTAACTTGACCAAATCTAAACCGAATCATGGTTCTGTTGCAGATATATGCAATGCCTGTTTTCGATATGATGGAAACTTTATTGGTCAAAAAGCTTAATTTTAGGCCGACCACAATTCTCCGGTTCTGTGTTCGCAGCTTCTATGTTGGTAAGAAAATTAACTGAAATGTACTATTATATTCATAGTTTTTTATATATATATATATTAGAACTTTTGTGTTACTTTGATCCATAAGTCTGATTTTGTTTGTTTGTTTATGTAGCTGCAACAATGTTTCTTGGTATGACGTTTCCGTTCTTTGGTGGCCTTTTGGCGTTCTTTGGTGGGTTCGCGTTTGCTCCGACGACGTACTTCGTAAGATTTGCGGTCTCTATACTCTTTTTCTCAACATGAAATAATTAGTCTAATTTAAATACTTTATCTTTTTCCAGCTTCCCTGCATAATTTGGCTAGCCATCTACAAACCTAGGAAGTACGGCTTGTCTTGGTGGGCAAACTGGGTAAGCATTAATTTTTCTGGCGTTTTCAGTTAAAGGTTGCGTTTTATGAAACTATTGTAAGAAAAAATAAATAAATGTGGTGTGTTGTTTATATTTCAGGTATGTATCGTGTTTGGTATTTTCTTAATGGTCTTGTCGCCGATTGGAGGGCTAAGGACGATCGTTATTCAAGCAAAGGAATACCAGTTTTACTCGTAAATGCTCTATAATTAATGTTAAGAAACATATTTATATATTAGTATATGTGTGACGAAGATTTTTAAAGATCAACATGAGACATATAATAATCTTTGGTCTGAGGTTTGAATGTATAATAGCTGGGTTTGTGTTTTGTGTGTTTATATCTACTATAATATTGAAAACACTATATTTTGCTGTGCGAAAAAATACAATATATAGCTTACAAAAATAAAAAGACAATATATTTTGTTCTTTTCTTGTTCAAAGTGTTTGATTCTTTGTGTTCTCATGACAAACTAGATAAATACTTCTTACACTCCTAAGTTTATTATTATAATAATAAAATCCATTAGTTAAATCCATGGTTAGCAAATGAGTTCTTTAAAATTTAAAAACAAACCATTAAAATATGATGATTGAGGATTCATGTGTTGCATATAACAACCGATACTCATAGACTAAAGATCTGAGTTCACAAAGAATAACTTCTTTTTTTTTTGCGTCCACAAAGAATAACTAAATAGATACTTGATCCATTACAAGACAAAATACATGAAGAAATACATGTATTATTGGGATTTTTGCCAAAACTAACCCATAACTTGGTTTTAACCCCAATACTAGACCCCAACTTGAATCAAATGCAAATCTAATCTAAAAGGGCTATGAAATTATATTATAGTGCTCTGTGACCAAACAAAAAGAACAGAATATATTTTTACGAATATAACCCCAGTAAGTTGTCTAGTTCGGGCTGAGTTACTTTTCAGTCGTCCTAAAAGGGCAATGAAATTACATTATAGTGCTCTGTGACCAAACAAAAAAAAACAGAAGACATTTTTACGAATATAACCCCAGTAAGTTGTCTAGGTCAGGCTGAGTTACTTTTCAGTCGTCTGGACGACTGAAATGTTAGTTGTCTGGACGATTGAATCTTAAAAATAATTTATAAATTCTGTACAAAATATTTTGATGAGTGAAAAATTAAAAACATGTAATTATAAACATTTATAAGTGATATAAATTAAGAAATGATAAAGTTGATTTGTTTTCAGCATAGATGAGTGGAAGTA